AGCTGGACTACCTGACTTTACACCACTAAGATCCATGTCTCTAGTTCCTGGCTCTACAAGTGTGTGTGTGTTCGTCTGTGTCTCTCTCTGTGTGTGTGTGTGTGTGTGTGTCTGTGTCTTTCTGTGTGTGTGTCTTTACCTGCAGTGTGGACATCCCCTCGTCTGTCTCTGCCACAGAAGCTGCTGGGCTCTGGTGTGTGTCCATCAGCTCTGGCCGTCTCTGTCTCGTAACTGTCTCCATGTGACATCTGTCCACAAACTCTGCACAGTCTATGTTCTCCACATTTCCCACACTGTCCACATCCTCCTGGCTGTCTCTCCCTCCCAGCTCCTCCCTCCCCCCCTCGGTGTCCCCGTCCCGCTGCAGGAGGGGCACAGCAGGAGGTTGGATCAGGGGACAGTCGTTCACGGTCTGTGTGTGGGACACGTTGGACTCCACAGGGTCTGTGTCCTCTGGATCCTCAGCCTCTGATTCCACCTCTGCTTCCTCTGGGACGTCCTGCTCTGCTGCACGCACACACACACACACGCACGCGCACGCGCACACGCACACGCACACGCACACGCACACGCACACGCACACGCACACACACACACACACACACACACACACACAATAAAACAGAATCAGAATCATTTTTATTGTCACGTAAGCAACAGGAAGTGACAGACTTGGAAATGTCTTTGGCTCAGTGCGTCAGAGAGAGAGGTGAGGGAAGAGGCATAATAAAATAATAAAAATAAAAAGCACTTCAAAGGAATCAATTTAAAATAGAGTTAAAATTACTATATACAATATAATGCACATGGTGCACACAATATACTGTAAGGAATGTACAGAGGGCGACAGTGGCTCAGCTGGTAGAGCCTTGGCCTTTGAGCCAGAGGGTCGTGGGTTCGAGCCCGACCTTCACCATCGACTCCCACTGTCTGCTGTTGCTGTGTCCTTGGGCAAGACACTTAACCTCTGGGAACAGCGAAGGCCACAGCGGGGCGGCTGTGGCTGTAAAGTGCCAAACTGTGGTTGTGTCCTTAGGCAAGACACTTCCCCCACATTAGAATGAGTCTGGTGTGTGTGTGGTTGGTGGTGGTGGGAGGGGCTTCTGTCAGTGTGCCCCAGGGCAGCTGTGGCTACAGTAGTTTATCAAACACAGTGTTTGGAGAGAGAGAATGATGATGTGAAGAGACTTTGAGAGTCCAAAAAAGCACTGTATTAAACCGATACATTATTATTATGAAGGTGACAGCAGTAAAGTGACTTTATAAAGATCAAAGGCGGGCGGCACGGTGGCTGAGTGGATAGCACTCTCGCCTCTCAGCAAGAAGGTCCTGGGTTCGAATCCCGGTCGGACCTTTCTGAGTGGAGTTTGCATGTTCTCCCCGTGTCTGCGTAGGTTTCCTCCGGGTACTCCGGTTTCCCCTACCACTAAAAATATGTCCAATAGTTCTAGCATGTGCCTCCTGTACTGGTGACGCTCCCATCTCTGTGTGGAGTGAGAGACAAGTGCCCAAAATTAACAATTGTAAACCGCTTTGAGACTCAGATCTGCAGTGAAAAGGCGGTATATAAATAAAGATTACTTACTTACTCAAAGGCAGATCTGTTTGTTCTGACCATAGACTGTAACAGACATAGTCACGCCTATCTCCACCGTTCTAACTATTGGGCTGGAAAATGTGAAAAAACACATCCGAGGCCTCTCGGCCCCCACCACCACCTTCCTCCTCCACTCCAGCACCGGGTGAGTACTGTGGTGCAAACACTGACCCCTGTCCGTCTGGCAGTGTAACGACAGTCCTGCCACTGAACGGTGCTTACTCAGTCATGCATCTGGAACTTAACAAAGTAAAACAGAGTTCACTTTTTAAACCAATAGAGACTGTGTGTGTTCCTCGCACCGGCTCAGAAATGTGTTTTAATTTGAATAAACACAAATATAACAGAAGGAAAGCAGTTAGACGGTCCAACTCTGGAAATCTAATTCCAATTCTTTGTAGTCAATCAACTAAACCCACTGACACTGATATTATTTTTAACCTTGCTCTGCTTAATGTCAGATCACTATGCAATAAATCCTTTTTAATTAATAATTTTATCTGTTCTTATGATCTTGACTTTATGTTTATGACTGAAACTTGGCTTGACCATAATACAGAAAATGCAGTTTTAATAGAAACAACACCACCAAATTTCAAATTTGAATCAGAAATTCGAGAAAATAAAAGAGGAGGAGGCACAGCAGCAGTTTTTAAAGATTGTATTGTCTCCCATAGAGTGTCTCTTGGGAAATTTTCCTCATTTGAGTATGTCTCTTTTAAAATAGAACAAAAACAATCTTCTATTCTTATTATTGTTGTGTACAAGCCGCCACAGTCATGTCATAGTTTCACTGATCATTTCACCGAGTTGCTTTCAGTTGTGTGCACAGATTTTGATAGTTTAGTCGTCATAGGTGATTTTAATATACATGTAGATAACGTTAATGATAGATACGCGAAAGAGCTGAGCTCTGTGCTGGAAACCTTTGGTCTCACTCAGCATGTGAGTGGCCCCACCCATAGCAGAGGACACACTCTCGATCTGCTAATTACTAAAGGGGTTAATATCTCAAATGTAAATGTGGCCAATGTTGCTCTGTCAGATCATTTCTGTGTATTTTTTGATATGTGTCTCAATAGTAAAGCACGAGCTGAATCCTCAATTGTTAGAAGAAGAAGACACATCCAAGCTGGTGAGTCCACGGCGTTTTCCGAACTCCTTCCACCAGGCTACTCATTCATTAGCTCCCCGCGTACTAGTGGTAGGGGAGGTGGGCTTGCCACAGTGTTTAAAGACTCGTTTCCATGCAAGCAAATTCCATCTGAAAGCTTTTCAAGCTTTGAATTACAAACATTTATGCTTGAACGCGCTCCTGTCATCTGTGCCTTAATGTATCGTCCTCCTAAAATTCATAAGGATTTTATTCAGGAATTCACAGACTTTGTTACAGGGCTCGTGCTGAAATATGACTGTTTTATTATTGCTGGTGACTTTAATATCCATGTGTGCTGCGAGTCTAAACCATTAGTCAAGGACTTTTTAAATGTTTTAGAAACGTTTAACTTGGCACAGCTGGTCCCTGGCCCAACACATGAAAAGGGACATACGCTCGATCTTGTGCTGTCTTTTGGTCTGAATCTGGAGATTATTGATATCTGTGACACGGGTATCTCAGATCACTACGCCGTGCTCTTTACTCTGACGCTTCCAAAATCTAACATTAAGCCGTGTGCCCCTGCGCGCAAAGTGCGCACATGCAACTCGCAAACTGCACTCACATTTTCGTTGGCTTTCTCTGACTTTATACTGAACAACGACTGCGGCAGTGATTTAGCTGTGGAAGACATGGTCTCTTTATTCAACGCTACATGCTCAAGCATTATTGATCTCGTAGCCCCATCCAGAGTCAAATGCGTAAAGCCTAAAGCTGAGCCCTGGCTTAATGACACAACACGGGCTCTGAGGCGCATCTGCAGACGTGCGGAGAGACGCTGGCAAAAGGACCGTCTGCAGGTGTCACTGGACATGCTGAAAGACAGTCTACAGTCATATCAGAGAGCAGTTAAAACTGCCAAGTCTAAATTTTTGTCCAACGTTGTTACTATCAATTGCCACAAACCCCAGGTTCTTTTTAATACACTGACCTCTTTGATTAATCCATGCACTTCTCCCCCTGTAGTGGCCTCTTACAAACTATGCAATGATTTTATTGTATTTTTTAATGACAAAATTGCCTCCATTAGGCAGTCTCCGTTGTGTAAGCCCAGTTTTATGAATATAGATAATGGCTGTCAAAATGTATTTGAGTGTTTTGAAAATGTGTCCTTAGCATTTGTGACAGACATTGTAAAAAAGCTACGCCCGTCTTGTTGTCCCCTTGACTCCATCCCATCTCGTCTGTTTAAGGAGGTGTTCAACACAGTGGGGATTTGGGTCCTTAACATAGTTAATGCATCTTTAAATTCAGGATGTGTACCTATCACACTTAAACATGCCGTGGTACAACCTCTTCTTAAAAAGCACAATCTTGACCCTACATGCTTGTCGAATTATAGGCCCATCTCAAAGTTGCCTTTTATTTCTAAGATCTTGGAAAAGGTTGTTCTCGTTCAACTACAGGACCATCTTGATATTTACAGCATCACTGAGAAGTTTCAGTCAGGTTTCAAAGCCAAGCATAGTACTGAGACTGCTCTTCTTAGAGTTCTTAATGATCTTTATTCAGTCTCAGACTCAGGCCGCCCTTCTGCTCTAGTTCTCCTAGATTTATCGTCAGCGTTCGATACGGTGGACCATGATATTCTTATTGCACGCCTCGAGCAACAAGTGGGCATCACAGGAACTGCACTTAAATGGTTCCAGTCCTATCTGACTGAGAGAACCTTTTCTGTTCAATTTGGCCAGTTCTCCTCTCAAGCGTCCAATTTAAAGTGTGGAGTGCCCCAAGGCAGTATTTTGGGCCCTACCCTATTTTGTCTTTACATGCTTCCCTTAGGAGCTATATTTGAGAAGCATAATATTTCCTACCACTGCTATGCTGATGATGTCCAAATATATCTGCCCATTCAGACTAGCAGCTGTGTACAGACACTTGTTGATTGTTTGAAGGAAGTCCAGGAATGGATGCAAGATAACTTCCTTAGTTTAAACAACAGGAAAACAGAAATACTTACCTTTGGGACTTCTGACCCTCTGCTGAACTGTGACAGTGCTATAGGACCTCTTATGGTTTATGAAAAGCCCCACGCCAGGAATCTAGGATTTATTATTGACAGCCATTTTAAATTTGATAAGCAGATAAATGCTGTTCTTAAAACAAGTTTTTATTATCTCAGAGTTCTTAGCAAAGTAAAATCTTATATTCCACATGCCCATTTTGAGAAGGCCATTCATGCTTTTATCACTTCCAGGCTTGATTATTGTAACTCTCTCTATGTCGGCATTGACCAGGCCCAGCTCAGCCGCTTACAGGGAGTGCAAAATGCAGCAGCCCGTCTTTTAACAGGGACAAAGCGCAGGGAGCACATCACTCCTGTTTTGCAATCCCTGCACTGGCTCCCGGTATATTTTAGAATTCATTTTAAAATTCTTATTATCGTTTTTAAAAGTTTTAATAGAATGGCACCTTCTTATTTATATGAACTCCTCCAGCCTCACCTTCCCTCCAGAGCACTGCGCTCTGCAGATCAGCACCTTCTTGTCGTCCCTAGGACCAGGCTGAAGACCAGAGGAGACAGAGCTTTCTCTGTTATAGGGCCAAAGTTGTGGAACTTTTTACCTTTGCACATCAGAACTGCACAATCACTCGAGCACTTTAAATCCCTGCTTAAAACGCATCTTTTTTCTTTGGCTTTTACTACCAAGTAGACAGAGACAAATTTTTCGATTTCTTTTTGTATATACATTTCTGTATTTTATGTGTTTTTATTTTATAATTTTTCCTCGCTGTCTGTTCAGCACTTTGGTAAGCCTAGGCTGTTTTAAATGTGCTCTACAAATAAAGATTTGATTGATTGATTGACATAAACAAAAATACAGGTGAACTTTTCATGGGGATGATAAACTTTGATAACACGTTGTGTTCTACTGTGGATGAATTACTTAACTCTGTCACCTCTAGTGTTTTGGATGTTCTGGACACGATTGCTCCTGTAAAGGTCAAAATTGTTACAAATAAGCAAAAAGCGCCATGGACAAAAGCAGACTCTGTCAGGGCACAGAAGAGAGAGTGCCGGAGAGCCGAGCGGAAGTGGCGAAAGTCAAATCTCCAAGTTGACCATGAGATCTTCAAAGATGCATTGTGCAAGTTCAACAGTGTGCTACGTAGAACGAGGGAAACTTATTTTTCAACAATCGAAACAATCGAAGGTTGCAGTAACAATCTACGCGTTCTGTTCTCAACAGTAAATAAATTGACAAATCCCCCTGTTAAGATGCCATCAGAGCTTACCTCCAAAACCAAATGTAATGAGTTTGCAGAGTTTTTTAATGACAAAGTCCAAGGCATCAAAAATGCCATCACCTCCACAGTAGAAATTACAATCCAACAGCCAGTGAAGCTTTTTGGGCTGACACACTTTACACCAGTACAAAATGAAACTGTCCAAATGATAATTACAAGTCTGAGTTCTTCTACATGTAGCCTGGATGTATTACCTCCTAGATTTCTTAAATCTGTTCTGAGCAGTCTTTTACCTTCACTCACGCATATAGTAAATATGTCTCTTGAATCTGGAACATTCCCAATGGCCCTGAAAACGGCAGTCATCAGACCCCTCCTAAAAAAGAGGAGTCTGGATGCCTTGGCACTTAAAAGTTATCAGCCCATTTCAAATCTGCCTTTCATGGGTAAAATTCTAGAAAAAGTTGTCTATCAACAACTTACAGAATTTTTAATAATCAATCACTCTTTTGATATGTTCCAGTCTGGTTTTAGACCCCACCACAGCACAGAGACCGCTCTAGTGAAGGTAACAAATGACATCAGACTTAACACTGACGCAGGAAAAGTCTCAGTCCTTTTTCTGTTAGATTTAAGTGCTGCTTTCGACACTGTCGATCATGGTATCCTCATTCAGAGACTTGAGGACTGGGTTGGTGTTTCTGGAACAGCCCTAAGCTGGTTTATATCCTACCTACAGGACAGAAAGTATTTTGTGGAGATCGGAAACTGTGTCTCAGACCATCTGGCCCTGACCTGCGGAGTGCCACAGGGCTCAATCCTGGGGCCTCTCCTGTTTAATATTTACATGCTGCCTCTGGGTAGGTTAATACACAGTAATAACGTGTCCTATCACAATTACGCTGACGATACTCAGGTCTATGTGTCCCTGACAGCAGGAGAACATGGACCAGTGGACTCGCTCCTTCACTGTATCCAACAAATCAGTGATTGGATGCAAAATAACTTTCTCCAGCTAAACACAGAAAAAACTGAAATTATTGTTTTTGGACCTCAAAAACAAAGAGAGAGCGTTATCTGCCACCTCCAGTCTCTCTCCCTAAAACCCTCAACTCAGGTCAGAAATCTAGGAGTAATAATGGACTCAGACTTAAATTTCAATAGCCACATATCATCTGTGACATCATCAGCTTACTTCCACCTAAGAAACATTGCTAAAATTAAAAACATTGTGTCTAAAGCAGACTTGGAGATTCTTATCCACGCATTTGTCTCCAGTCGATTGGACTACTGCAATGGCTTGTTCACAGGTCTCTCTAAACAGGCGGTAAAACAGCTGCAGTACATCCAAAATGCAGCAGCTCGAGTCCTGACTAGAACCAGGAAGTACGACCACATTAGTCCGGTCCTCAGGTCTCTGCACTGGCTTCCTGTGGCTCAGAGAATAGATTTTAAAGTAGCTTTACTTGTGTACAAGTCTCTCCATGGCCTCGCACCAGGGTACATCCGCGACATGTTGGTGCCATATGAACCAACTCGGGCTCTGAGGAGCACAGGGACTGGACTTCTGTTAGTGCCAAGAGTCGGAACTAGACATGGGGAGGCTGCGTTTCAGATTCATGCAGCTAGAGTCTGGAACCGTCTTCCAGAGAGTGTGAGACAGGCGTCTACTCTGGCAGTTTTTAAAACTGAACTGAAAACAGTTCTTTTTAGCTGTGCATACAAGTGAATGATTTTATATTTGTTTTTATCTTTAATCTTTTTAATGCGCTATGATTATTTATGATTATTTATGATTGTAATCCCTTGTGTGATTTTAATGTTTTACGGTTTTTAACTACTTGTGTGATTTTATATATCTTGTGCTCTTAATCTGTCCTTTTATGTTTACTTAAATTCTAATGTTTGATGATTTATGCATGATGTTATATGGGTTGTGAGGCGCTTTGCGTTGCCTTGTGTAGGAAAGACACTCTACAAATAAACGTTGATTGATTGATTGATCTGTGCATGCGTCAGCTGCACGAGCCCTATTCATTTAAACAGAGACTTCTAAAGTCCACAGCGACTAAACTAGACTGGTCCAGAACCCTCAGCATTGACACACATGTGGAACGGAGCTTTGGGCCAAGAGACACTTTTGGACCATCCTGTAAAGACGTTTTCCAGAGGTAAGAAGATGCAATGGGGCTGGAAAGTCTCGTCCCAGAAGCACTTCTGGTTCATGGCTCGGATACAAACAAACCGTCAGCTGTTGGAGGAGGCGGTTTAAGTGAATGGTGCAGAATGCTCTGCTTTGTTTTCGGCTGTAATCATCACAGTTTACACGACACTCATTCTTTAGGTTTCCCAAAGACCAACTGAAGCTGTGGGAAAAGCTCTGCAAGTTCTGATAAAACATTTTGTCTGATTTCAGAGACAGTTAACTTGAACATGTATTCAAGCTAACTTGTAGCTAATGCTAACCTGTAATAGTGCGCAGCCAAGCCTTTCATTGTGGCTTGTATTTTAAGATAAGAAACTTTATTGATGTCACACAGGATAAATATTGTCTCTCAAATATTTATCTATTTGAGAGATAAAGGAGGAACATATTAACACGTATTAAATAACATTTAACAAATGTTCAAATATAACAGAAAACGGACAATCATTCGTATTAAATGAATAATAACCCAACTACATCATGTTATTTTTGACAGCACAGCAAAAAGAAAAAAGGCCCAAAGTGAAGCTGCAGTGAGTGTGAAGTGGAGAATGAGCTGATGAACAGATTAAACTGATCATTCATAAACATTGGCTCATAACCAAAGCAGCAAAGATGTAAGGGACAACATCATTTATTTGCATAGGAATAGTGTTTCTATATTTTCTTTCTGATGCGTGATAGTGGATTAAAATACAATGAGTTAGAACCATAGACTGTATGTTTGAACACGGCCCTGAGCCTTTCTCATCTCCCCGTCATATAAACGTCAGCACATGGTCAGTTCACCGCTAACTCCGACCGCTCACTCAGTTTTTCTGTCCCAGAGACGAAATGTGTCCAAAATAACACAGGAAAGTCCATTAACGACGAAGAAGTCGGAGATCTCCGCACCGTACAACTGGCACGTGTGGTTTGTTTGTATCCACGGGTGGAAATCTCGCAAAATCTCGCACTTCCGCTTTCCAGCCCTATATGTTAGCATTGGCTAATTCTTATTCTGGGTCCACCCCCACAGGCCCGGGGTGGTACTGCAGCATGTCAGCGCACGTCATTTTGGCCACTTTTGAGCCAGGACCCTCCCACACTGGTTCTGACCCGAGTCCAGTGTGTTCTGACCTGAGTCCAGTGTGTTCTGACCCGAGTCCAGTGTGTTCTGACCTGAGTCCAGTGTGTTCTGACCTGAGTCCAGTGTGTTCTGACCTGAGTCCAGTGTGTTCTGACCCGAGTCCAGTGTGTTCTGACCCAAGTCCAGTGTGTTCTGACCCGAGTCCAGTGTGTTCTGACCCGAGTCCAGTGTGTTCCGACCCGAGTCCAGTGTGTTCTGACCCGAGTCCAGTGTGTTCTGACCCGAGTCCAGTGTGTTCTGACCTGAGTCCAGTGTGTTCTGACCCGAGTCCAGTGTGTTCTGACCCGAGTCCAGTGTGTTCTGACCTGAGTCCAGTGTGTTCTGACCTGAGTCCAGTGTGTTCTGACCCGAGTCCAGTGTGTTCTGGACCCGAGTCCAGTGTGTTCTGACCCGAGTCCAGTGTGTTCTGACCCGAGTCCAGTGTGTTCTGACCCGAGTCCAGTGTGTTCTGACCTGAGTCCAGTGTGTTCTGACCCGAGTCCAGTGTGTTCTGACCCGAGTCCAGTGTGTTCTGACCCGAGTCCAGTGTGTTCTGACCTGAGTCCAGTGTGTTCTGACCTGAGTCCAGTGTGTTCTGACCCGAGTCCAGTGTGTTCTGACCTGAGTCCAGTGTGTTCTGACCCGTTTGGAAGTCCAGGGTGACCAGGACCCGGTACTGACGGCTGAAGTCGTACTGATAATGACTCAGACTCTCGTCCTCAGGATCCAGAGTCTCAGAGGGACACGAGGCGACTGCTGCTCTCACCCTGACACACAACACACACATTATACACACACACACGCACACCCTGACACACAACACACATATTATACACACACACACACACCCTGACACACAACACACACACACACACCCTGACACACAACACACACATTATACACACCCTGACACACAACACACACATTATACACACACACACACCCTGACACACAACACACACATTATACACACACACACCCTGACACACAAAACACACATTATACACACACACGCACACCCTGACACACAACACTTTACACACACACACAGTGGGTTTACCTGATAGTGTGTATCTAGAGAACACAGCTCTGACATAAACAGGACGGTCTGATACTCACTTGTCCAAGACGTCTGCAGAACTCTGAGGACGCACAAAACAACTTATTTACTCCAAATAAAAACACACACTGGATCAAAGAAGCATCAGAAATCGCTGCACACACTGAGGCGGTAGACCCAGGACCGAGGCCGTAGACCCAGGACTGAGGCCGTAGACCCAGGACTGAGGCCGTAGACCCAGGACTGAGGCTGTAGACCCAGGACCGAGGCCATAGACCCAGGACTGAGGCTGTAGACCCAGGACCGAGGCCGTAGACCCAGGACCGAGGCTGTAGACCCAGGACTGAGGCCGTAGACCCAGGACTGAGGCTGTAGACCCAGGACCGAGGCCGTAGACCCAGGACTGAGGCTGTAGACCCAGGACCGAGGCCGTAGACCCAGGACCGAGGCTGTAGACCCAGGACTGAGGCCGTAGACCCAGGACTGAGGCCGTAGACCCAGGACCGAGGCCGTAGACCCAGGACCGAGGCCGTAGACCCAGGACCGAGGCCGTAGACCCAGGACCGAGGCCGTAGACCCAGGACTGAGGCTGTGTCTCCTGTACCTGAACAAAGGCCACAGAGTCTGCGTCCTCCATCGTGGCGGTCGCTCGCTCCAGCAGCTTCTCGTTGGCGGCGACTGTGTCTCTGTATCTCTGCATCAGAGCTTTGGCTCGACCGGTCTTCTCCTCCTCCTCTGCACTGATCACCTCTGTCATGGACTACACACACACACACACACACACACACACAGACACACAGACACACACACACACATACAAACACACACAGACACACACACACACACACACACACACACACACACACACACACACACACACACACACACACACACACACACACACACACACAGACACACACACACACACACACACACACACACACACACACAGACACACACACACACACACACATACAAACACACACAGACACACACACACACACACACACACACACACAGGGCTCAGATGAAGCAGCAGGACCACAGTCTCCTCACACTCTCACCTTCCTTCTCTCCTTCAGACTGGACTGAACCTGCTCCAGCTGCTCACAGACCATCAGCTTCTGCTTCTGGTACGACTCCTGCATCAGAGAGAGTTAGAGTTAGAGAGAGGTCTCTCTCTGGTCTCTCTCTCTGGTCTCTCTCTGGTCTCTCTCTGGTCTCTCTCTCTGGTCTCTCTCTGGTCTCTCTCTCTGGTCTCCCTCTGGTCTCCCTCTGGTCTCTCTCTCTGGTCTCTCTCTCTGGTGTCTCTCTGGTCTCTCCCTCTGGTCTCTCTCTGGTCTCTCTCTCTGGTCTCCCTCTGGTCTCTCTCTGGTCTCTCTCTCTGGTCTCTCTCTGGTCTCTCTCTGGTCTCTCTCTCTGGTCTCTCTCTGGTCTCTCTCTCTGGTCTCTCTCTGGTCTCTCCCTCTGGTCTCTCTCTGGTCTCTCTCTCTGGTCTCCCTCTGGTCTCTCTCTGGTCTCTCTCTCTGGTCTCTCTCTGGTCTCTCTCTGGTCTCTCTCTCTGGTCTCTCTCTGGGTCTCTCTCTGGTCTCCCTCTGGTCTCCCTCTGGTCTCTCTCTCTGGTCTCCCTCTGGTCTCCCTCTGGTCTCCCTCTGGTCTCCCTCTGGTCTCTCTCTCTGGTCTCTCTCTGGTCTCTGGTCTCTCCCTCTGGTCTCTCTCTGGTCTCTCTCTCTGGTCTCCCTCTGGTCTCTCTCTGGTCTCTCTGGTCTCTCTCTGGTCTCTCTCTCTGGTCTCTCTCTCTCTCTCTCTGGTCTCCCTCTGGTCTCTCCTCTGGTCTCTCTCTCTGGTCTCCCTCTGGTCTCTCTCTGGTCTCTCTCTCTGGTCTCTCTCTGGTCTCTCTCTGGTCTCTCTCTCTCTGGTCTCTCTCTGGTCTCTCTCTGGTCTCCCTCTGGTCTCCCTCTGGTCTCTCTCTCTGGTCTCCCTCTGGTCTCCCTCTGGTCTCCCTCTGGTCTCCCTCTGGTCTCTCTCTCTGGTCTCTCTCTGGTCTCTGGTCTCTCCCTCTGGTCTCTCTCTGGTCTCTCTCTCTGGTCTCCCTCTGGTCTCTCTCTGGTCTCTCTGGTCTCTCTCTGGTCTCTCTCTCTGGTCTCTCTCTGGTCTCTCTCTGGTCTCCCTCTGGTCTCCCTC